AAGGCTAGGGTTTGGGACAGAGAAACCCCACAGTTGGGGTCATGAGGTCCACTGAGCCATGTTCCAGGCCATATCACCTTGCGTGATTTTGCAAAATCAACACAATTAAAGGTGGAGGTCCCTTTCCAGCCCCATCTAAGGGACCCAAAAGTTTTTTTTCTTTTTCTTTTCTTTTGGGTGGAGGGGAGGATGACCCCATTTTGTCATGCACCAAAAGAGTGTTATAGACTCACAAACAATACCCCACCCCCCATTCCTCCTTTGCTTGCATTTTACATCTCTCTCTCTCTCTCTCTCTCTCTCTCTCTCTCTCTCTCTCTCTCTCGTTTGGGTGAAGTGTTCTTTGGGGTCCATGCATGAAAAGAGGTGTAAAGAGGTAAGCAAGGATAGAGAGGAGGAACCCAACTTGATAGGATGCTCATGTGAGGGAAAATCTTATTATGTTTGCTACTAATTATGGCACCAATATCATATAAATGTTCTTCTTTATGTATATATTTGCTATGATTAGGAGTGGTATTAAAGTATGTCAATTTATTTTTGTCAAAACCTTAGAAAAAGGAGAGATAAAAAAAAGGGCTTCATGAGATGAGAGTGAGAGAGAGAGAGACTCTGTATTAATGGCATTTATGATCAGCTGCCAACATGACAAAATGATCACCATGGGCTCTTTAAATTCTTATGTCACCATGTGGAGATTTTCAGAAGCTTCTTAATTGTTTAATTTGGAGCAATAAACCTTGCTCAAGCTTGTTCAACTATGGACAAATCATAACTAAAAGGCCAAATAAAGGAAAGAAATGCCCAATCTGATTAGTGATGTGTGGCTTATGATCAAGTAATCTAGCTAGATTTGGTGTAACTTTGCTTCATAGGAACTCTCATGTCAATTGCAATTTACAAATATAGAACTTATCCCCCACCCAAAATGCAATATCAAGGCTAAATGCAAAATATAGAGACGTATTAGCTACATTGAATTGATGTATGCTAAGTCATGATTAGTAATGTTAACAGACTTTAATTACCTTTTCAATGACAAGCTGCCTACTGCCCTTTATGGGCTCATTCCTGATTTTACTTTCCACCAAGCATTAATAGAATGAAAAATGTCATGCGTTTCCCAATGAAATGATGAAACTTGAAGTAGTGTGGTTTTATGATCAAAATTTAAGCAGTTTGAACTTTAATAGAAATAATATGTGTGGGAGCAAATAATCGCGTGCTAATAATCGAACGCCACGTATGCAATAAGTTATTGCCTAGACTAAATTACCCATAATAAAAGGGATGTGAAAATCAAAAGTACATCTCATCCTCATTAATGTGATGAGGGAGTGACGTAAAAATTTTGAACAGGCAGAGGTCGATGAGGTCGATTTATTTGCAATAACTGTTAAGAGTGTGGGCTCCACAAGAACTCACGCACACTGTGGAAAAAGCTCGGCGTGGCCTATTAAACGTCCCGGGCCTCGCCAGCCACAAAACCCAAACATGTGCCAAGAAGCTACGTGGGCCTGAGACCCAAGTGGGATTAGAGTACGTTCAAATAGGACAAGTCATTCTATAGTGAGGGTGTCATATATGGACTATAGATGTGGACATCCATATTAGCCACATGATTCATCTGAATAGTAACTTCACTTAAATTTAATGAAATGATCATGTGGCTAACATGAAGGTCCACATGAGGGGTCCATATATGGCCCCCTCACTATAGAATTTTGCCAAATAGGACTAATCCTTGGGAAACACGCCTCTAAAATGGATCAACATTGATCCCCAAGATATCCCTAATTACAGCAACATCAATAATTTAGGGGATCATGCCAACACATTTTGATAAAATCTCTCACATGTCCCAAGTCAAACGGCTAATTGATTGGACATGTGATATAAAGAGCAATGACGTCCCCAATAATGCCATACACAACCTTTTACGGCAAGAAACCAACCATTAACAAGTCATATAAAACCCGATCACAACTGCAAGAAGGAGATAATGTTCCATTACAACCTAAGAAACCCTAATTCTTATTTTCTGAAACTGACTTAAGCTTCAAAGACTCTTTGGCTCATACCACACTGGTGTTTACAGGGATTCATTCTTTTAAATCTCAGGGGGCACTTTGGTCTTCTTTAGGAGTAGAAGAAATTATTCCCAACAATATGTAAGATTTTATTCATATGAACATGGATTGGCTCCTTAAAATTGAGGAGCTCT